CAGGGCCTCCGAGAGCCAGACAGGAATGGATTTTTCAAACACAGCCTGCAGACCTGCTTGGCCATTGTTTTCTGAGGCGGGGAGTGGGCGAGAGCATCTAATCAGACCCCCCCCTCCACGCAGCTGTGTGAGGAATAGGCCGATGCCAGCCCCGGGGCGAGCACGCGCCCCATGGAAGAACAGGGAGTTGATGGGACCTGCCCAGGGTGGATTTCGTGTCTCCCCAGGACTACGGATCATTCCCTTCTTCTCTCTCAGTCTGTCAATCTGGGGAGCTTGTCCTTAGCATAGGGTCATGGATCCTGATTTCTCCTCTGTGTCTTTAACTCACTCGATCTCTGCTTGCATTTTACCGATGTTTCGTTTTTCATCTGGTTAGAAATCGTCCGGCAAACTTTCGTCGACACAGCCAGAAACCATTTTGGCGAATTTTCCAACCTTAATAAAACAGTCCAGGTAAGCACCTGCAGTTTATCTGTTGGCCGCCTGCTCTGCTGGCCGATCCGAGTCTCACCTTCGAAAGAAGGTGGATCTGCGCTGTCACTTGGAAGCGCGAGGCCGGGTGACAGCTGCAGGCGTGCTGGGCTGGCGGCTCCAGCGGCTTCCGCTCTTTCGATTCTGCTCAGGAGTTAGTGGCCCCTCTGGGGGGAGTGACACGCAGCACGCGCGCTTGCTCGCTCTCCCGCATAATCTTCTTCGGCATGGCAGGACGCGCCTGGACATGTGACTGTCCCCAGTGACTGGGTGGTGTTCTGGATCTTTTTCTAGCACAGAAGACAGTATTTCTTGTCCTCGTCCAACACTTTTATGAGTCTGACTTAAAAATAGTGTCACAGCTCTGTGGGTTTCCATTCGGCAACTTAGCGAGGCCCCCTGAGCCGCAGACTCAGTAAAGGGAAGAGAGGGCTTCCGCCTCCCACCTGGGCTCCAGGTAGAAATTGTCCTCTGCCCAGGGCTCGGCTGTGGGTCGGAATCTCATTCCACACCTCCTTCAGGTGAGCAGGGAGAAGCAGTTCCGTCATTGCCCCACTAAGTGACTTGTTTCCTTCTTCCGCCTCGTTTGCCAGTTGGCGAAAACCACGGCTTCGACTTCGCGGGGGCTGTGGGTCTGAGTCCTCTGAGTCCTGGGGTGCCTAGGCACGGGCTGGGCGGCGTGCCTGGTCCTGATGGCCATGTGTCCAGGCCGGCAGCTGCCAAGTGCACGCCGTCCTTCCTGGTCTCGGAGGTTGCTCCCCTGGGTCCCCTGTGTTCTTGACGGCGGGGCTCCCCAGCACGCCCGGGGCACAGAAACTCCTGGGCACAGGCCGCTCTGGACCAAGGGACTCCAGCACCCGCCAGGGCCTCCACCCCTTGGTGTGGTCCTCGGACAGCTAAGGAGCCTCACCGCTGCTCTGTGTACCACACGGGGGCTCCTGGAGCCCTCCGAGGCCCCCAGCCCAGATGCACCCCTCCACCATTATACTCCTGGGTGTCTTCAGAGCCAGTGGTCTTGTCACCTCCCGTGTCACTCGCCTCAGAAGTGATATGCCGGCCATTTCTGCTCTCGGGCCCCAAACCTGTGAGGGGGGCTTGACACAAAATTATTTTTTGCCACATACACTCCGAAACAGGAGAAAAACCAGGCCCTGTGACTCACAGGCACGCGCTCGCTCTCGCGCTCGCTCTCTCTCTCTCTCTCTCTCTCTCTCTCTCTCTCTCTCTCTCTCTCTCTCTCTCCACCATCTCTGCCTTCAGCATTCAAAAGTCTGTCTGAAACTCAAAAGCCAAGAAGCGACTTTTCTCCACCGCCATGAGTACCTTTCCCAGAATGCCTTTGACTGTGTGGGACTCACGGGATTTGGGGGGAGCAAAGATGCCAAGCTCTTCCCCCACCGTGCTCATTGACACGTTGGCACCGGAGCTTGGGGCTTGGGAGTTAAGCCAGCTAGAGAGAGGAGAGCAAGGACTTAAAAGTGTAAACAAACCACAATTATAGGGGCAGAAAGACGGTGATGTGGGAGGAAATGGGGGGTCAGGGCAGAGGAAGAATGGGCGGGAGACAAGCTGGGACGGGCACGTGCAAGGGACTGCCAGGGACAGCAGCGAGGGGCGGCGTGGGGGCCTTCTCCAAATCACCACGTAAAGTCTTAGGGCTCCTCCGACCCGAGCTCATTTTTAATTCTGTGCTCAACACAGTAGGACGTCCTCAGGTGTTTAGACCCCAGAGCGGGCAGCAGTGATCTGTTTCTCTTTCGTATCCAACCAGAGCAGGATCGAAGAAATAAAAATCAAACGGGCGGAAACCGCGGACTCCGTGATCCGCCTGCAGTTCAGGATGGAGCAGCAGGTCTACTGTCAAGACCAGATTTACAGCAGGCTTCTGGAAAAGGCCCGAGAAGACGCGAATTCGCCTGGCAAGACTGCCCCGTTGCAATTTCCTTTATCGAATGACGTGGCTTCGGTTTCCTCCATCACTGAAATCGGGGTGCACCTGAATGCCTACTTCTTGGTGAGTGCGGGCGCCCGGGGGAGCGCAGCGAGGCGTGTGCCAGCTCGTGTGCCAGCCGGCGCTGTCTCGATGGCGGTGTGCTGGCCGAGCCGGGCCGCTGTTGTGTGTTCAACTCCTTCGGCTCTGATCAACTGCTCATCCATTATCTCATCTATAATTTGACACTAACCCTGTCGAGACGCTTCAGTAACTTGTCCCCAAATCAAGGGCTTTGTGTGGCAAAGCCCAACCTCAAAATTAACCCCAGCTCCAAGGGTCTTTAGAATATGTGCTGCCCACGACGTGCAAAGTCACGGTGATCAGAATACAGCGGAAGGCAGCAGGCTCTAACCTTACGGGGCAGGACTCAGCCGCTTTTGTGGTTCAGAAGGCACTGGGCTCTCGAAAGTACCTGACACTCCCCAGCTTCTCAAAAACGAGAATGAAATTCCCTCCCCTAGATGTGGTGTCGCGCGGTCAGCTTCGTGGCTCCTAACCCTCACCCAGTGTGGACGAAAGCGCGGGGGCACACAGAGGGAAGATGGCTTTGAAACCGCAAGGAAGCCTGACCCTGAAGCCTGTCCTTAATCGGAACAGAAAGAACAGCCACCCAGGTGTGGCGTCCGGTTGCCGGGCAAACTCCAGGTGCCGGGAGAGAGAGCACGAGGCGGGCGCTGAGGCAGGTCCCAGAGGGAAGCCGAGGGGTCGCCGGGCCAGGAGGTCTCTGTGGGCAGGTGGAGTGGGGGTCCCGGGATGGAGCTCCAGAGAAGGCTGGGACGCCCAGAATGTGCTTTGGGTTTCCTGGACATCCGGGTGGGCTCTAGTGCCCGAGGGAATAAGAACTTGGGCATTGAAATCGGGCAACCCGGACAGAACCTCCCCGTGTTTTGACACGGGACACTAGAGTGAGGTGGGCAGGACCACCAGGATACAGCGAGGCTACCACGCGTGCCTGCAGAACCCCAAGGCTTCTCTCTGCAACCACAGACCTCGGGTGAGATCCCTCCAGCTCACCTTCTCGCCCCTTCTTCCAGGAAACCAGCAACCGCCTGGCCAACCAGATCCCGTTCATCATCCAGTATTTTATGCTCCAAGAGAACAGCGACTATCTGCAGAAGGCCATGATGCAGATGCTGCAAGAGAGGGAGCATTACACGTGGCTGCTGCAGGAGCAGAGCGAGACAGCGGCCAAGAGGCAGTTCCTTAAGGAGAAAATCTACCGGCTCACCCAGGCTCGGCGCGCGCTCTACAAATTCTCCTGCTAAAGCAGGGGTGGGG